GGTCCCGGTCCGGTACGGGCGCGACACTGAGGGTTGCGATCCGTTGCCGGGCATCAAAAAAGACAAAAAAAAAAAATCCTTGCTATGGTAAAGAAGGGAACCACACATCCCAGATACCAGGTACACTGCATACATTATTCCATTTAATCCTCATGATGGAGGAGATAGTTATGACAATTCCCATTTTAATATGTGGAAAATGAGACTTAGAGCAGTTTAGTAATTTACCCATGGTCAGACAGACGGGCTACAGATACCAAAGCCCATTCATGGTGCTTTGAAGGGTCACTATCTGATTACTTGCTTGAAAGCCATCTTTTGCTCCCCAATAGAAACCCCGACACACACAACTCTGACATAACTTTAAAGAGAATATAGCAAACTCATATTTTGCACACAAGGAAGAATGCCATTCCCTAAGGAGGATTTTTGAGCTCACGCACTAATGTGTTTCTAGGCATGGTCCCATCTGGATGAGGACCACCAGGAGCTCAGCAGACAACTGGACGTGGTGGCGAGCAGCCTCCCGAGTGTGGGTCTGGTGGAGGAAAGTGAGGACAGGCTCGTCGACAGGATAACCCTCTACCAGGTCGGTGCTGGAAGGGCGTCTTGGTGTTTCACATCGCTACGGTTCCTCTGGAAACTTTCCAGCAGTTGTAACAGAATCTAAAAAAACTTGTGCTCAAATATTTTGAGTACTTTTGCTTTTCTTTCAAGTTATTGACATTGTTGAAAACAGATAGTGTTTGTGTTATTTACAGTAGAACCTTTTTTATTTAAAAAGTCTTTCCTTTAAAATTTTTTTTAATGAGACAGCTCTTTTTTGAAAATTTAGCTTCCACCAAGCATTTTCTGTAGTTTACGCTGGTGTCATACTACTCTTAAAATAATAATAGTTGACAGCTTTAAGTGCATCTAAAATTACTACTAAAAAAGAAAAGAAAAATAAACATTATACTTATATATAGATGAAACATCTTAAACTTTTCAATGTTACTCAGGTGCAAATAGTTTGAACAACAGGTAGTGGGAACTTTGTGGGCACCAGAGTAATTATAATTCTTAAAGACAAAAATTTCACCATCTAAACTTTTAACTCAATATTTTCAATCATTTTAGCGTTTAAAATCCAGCCTTAATGAATACCAGCCCAAATTATATCAGCTATTAGACGATGGAAAACGACTTCTGATATCTATTAGCTGCTCAGATCTAGAAAGCCAACTAAATCAACTTGGAGAGCATTGGCTGAATAATACCAACAAAGTGTCTAAGGAACTTCACAGGTTGGAAACGATATTGAAACACTGGACCAGGTAACAGGATGATTATTTTGCATATTTTTAGCTAAGTGCTCCAGTGTAGTAATAAGGCTATGGGTACCGAACTTGAAAAAAAATATGGTCCCTCTGGAAAATTACTGCATAGTTTGGAAAATAAAGACAAACAGAAAGCGCTCAGCTGGATCCTTGTGTAATTGTATAAACATATGATTAAAAGTGGACAGGCGGGCATGTGCTATAATGCAGCTTCTCTTTGAGCTGTCATCCTCCCCTGCCTGATGACTGCATCTGGGTGGTCACAGTAAAGCCTTAGAAGGACAGAAAGAAGAGTAATTGTGAATTGAGAAGGGGAAGCTTCTCAAAGACAAAGGGAAGAATTCAAGGGAGGTGGACGGTTGATTTCTACGTAACGAAATACTGTTCCCGTGCCATCTTTATATCAAAGAACTTTTTATAACCATCGTCTGATATTTTCTAAGTAGCATCGATATGGAGGGGGGAAAGATATTTTTATTTTCAGCTTAGAGGTGGGAAAGCTGAAACCCAGAGACACAGATTTGACCGAGGTATAAATATTAAGATTATCAAAGAACTTTTTATAACCATCGTCTGATATTTTCTAAGTAGCATCGATATGGAGGGGGAAAAGATATTTTTATTTTCAGCTTAGAGGTGGGAAAGCTGAAACCCAGAGACACAGATTTGACCGAGGTATAAATATTAAGATAAGAGAATTTTAGAGAGTCACCAAGTGCATTTTTCTTCTAAATCTATTGTCTCTTGTTTTAAAACTGTTGGTATTGGTGAGTAACATAAGTGAGCAGAAGGTAAGGATGGGATGTTTACTTAATAGACTCATTAATATACTTACAGATATAAAAGTGAATCTGCAGATCTCATTCACTGGTTACAATCTGCAAAAGACAGGCTAGAATTTTGGACTCAGCAATCTGTCACGGTCCCACAAGAACTAGAAATGGTCCGTGATCACCTGAATGCTTTCCTAGTAAGTATAATAAAGGCATTTGATTCAATTTTATTGTTTTCAGGCCAGTAGGTAAGGCCTGGCCCATACACCAGTAAAAAGGAAATCAGTTGTTAATGGATATACTTAATAAGGTGAGCTATGAAGAATTTATCAATGTTAACTATGTGTGTTCAATAATTATGCAAAATAATAGAGATCAACTACTCAACCTTGCCCGTTTAAAGTAGTTTTCAAGTAACTGTTTCATAGTTGGCTTTCATTTGTGGGCAAGGGTGTGATTCTTATGTTTTCCACTTGCATTCAACATAACTCCCCTCTGAAGATGTAGAGAAAATTGTTTTAGGTGCTAAGTTGGTCTCATTCCTTAAATGAAAGGTCTGGTTGTTTAATTTTAATTTGAATGTTGCTGCTACTTTTAGGAGTTTTCTAAAGAAGTGGATGCCAAATCTTCCCTGAAATCATCTGTTCTGAGCACTGGAAATCAGCTTCTGCGATTAAAGAAGGTGGACACGGCCGCCCTGCGTTCTGAGCTGTCTCACATCGATAGCCAGTGGACTGACCTGCTGACAAATATTCCAGCTGTACAGGAAAAGCTCCACCAGGTACAAGGATTGGTTTCGTTAGTAGTAATTGATTTAAGCTATATATATATATTTTTTTTTTTTTTTTTTTTTTTTTTTCTTTTTTT